TTCGATGCCTGGGCTTCTTGATCTAGATCTATAATCTTTTGACCCATACCCATAGTCATTTCTACTACCATAGCGTGGAGGATAACTTGATGACTCAACACCAAGCGGACCATCGTCTCTATAATCATGTCCTCTGCTAGTTCTTTGTTGCCATCGGCCGTTGCTTCTACTACTCCTATATGAAGGTGCAGCTTCCCAAAGCCACTCATCTGCGTTTTCTGGTAATGGAGCGTTAATACCCGGGAACTCAACTGTCATTTTCATTTGTGGCTCTGGAGGGGTTACTTTTTCCAAGATTTCCCCATCCTCACTCTCTATTTCCTCCCGAGTCTCTTCTTTCTCCTCTCCAAATATAGTGATTCCAGACAAATGATCATCTTCTGGAGCTAAAGACATAGCACAGGAAGAAACAGACACAATATAAGGCGTGAGAATGTGGTATAGTTTAGCTCCTGGGCGATAACAGAGAAATCCACTTCTTTTGCAGGTACATGAACGAAAATAAAACAGAGCAGAAAAGCTTACCTAAATATCCCGGAGGGTACCCAATCTCTCGCATTCTGTTAAGCCATGGAGGAGGATCTAGTTCCTTTACAAGAGGAAAGAAACTATTTAGAATACTCACTTCTCTGATCTAAGAAATGTGGGATCCAGAATATTAATTGAATTACAAAAGGAAAAAAAGTTCAAAATTACCCCAAGATTCAGAAGCTGACGTGTTTCTGCATCAAGTGTGCCAGGTTTCAAGCCATCATACTTTCCACTTTCAGGTTTTTGATAATATCGCGATGGTAGACGGGACGCACTATTCTGATTTCGTTTGGATTTTTGAAGCTTCCGAGCACTATTAACCGCTGATCGATCAAAAGGCTTTGGACATTCTCTCAAGGAATGACTATAGCCACCACAATTGAAGCAACGTGGAGGATCATCAATAATCTCCAACCCCCTGGAACAATTACGAGACATGGAAGATTACAAGAATGCACCCGTCGAAAGACCATTAACAAATTCACTGTTAGGTTATTCTACAACATAATGCAAACAAAGCAGAATAATGGATGCATCAAGATCTATAGAAGATAAAACTAGAAACAGGAGGAAATTTTTACAAGTTATTTGATCTGTAGATTCAATTACCCTTCCAAGTTATTTGATCTATCTGCTGAATTCAAACCGATTGCAAATTTACGGTCATAAAGAGGAGTGGTGCTACTTTCCACTAGAACAAACTCTTCCAACGGCTTAGGACCAGTTTGGTTGTCGATCCAGAATGACTGCATATGCAAGAATGCACCAGTTGACATGTCATAAAGATTATCAATATGAACACATAACAACTTTTAATAGCCATGACAACATTTTCACTCACCACAGACGAAGTCTTCTGCAATCCAACACGTAAAGCAGGGAAACATGTCTCCTCGCCAGATTCTAATGGTTGTTCTTGATCCTGACCAAAAATAACCAATGGAAAGATTCTACCTTAAATACATGGTAAGTGAAATTCTCTCAGTTTATCTTATCGTATAAACTGAAAGGTTTAGCTGAATTTGCTCATAGACTACTAGAAAGATTTTGGTATCAGGACTATGCTAAGCATGCCTTAGTAAACGCTAGCTCTGTTTTACTTACACCAAACAGTTGGTTCCTCAGTACTTATATGGCTAATGCCCATCATGTAGGTCCACAGCATGCATGATGATAACTTACAAGTATCATTCTTGCACAATTACTCTGCTTGATGTCTAATATGGATTCTCTTAACCACAATCTTAATTGATCAAATGTTGAAAATTATAACTGTTATATTGGCTACAAATTACATTTTAGAAGAGAGGAAAAGGACCTCCATTCCGAGATACCTGAGCCAATGAAGTATATTCTGCCTCCCATTCTGACCATTGGCGTAGTAAACTTTCCAGCTTCTGCTTACTAGCTCTGAAAAGATGCAGTCCATTAAGAATTAAAAACAATGGTCAAGTCAGTAATCACATGATAACAGCAATGCTTCATGCAGCTTAAAATTACATGCAGTTGAGTTATGGCTCTTTTTTCATCTAACCTGGTCAAGTGTTTATAAGTAACATGGACTGTAGGTTGCTGTTGGTCAGAAGATGCCCGGGGTCTTTTAACACCTGATTTGGCTGTCATGTGGAATTATGGAAAAACAGAAGAAGATAACATAATCACAGATATCGAGTCTGAGTAAACAAATAACTACAATTTACAGAAAGAAAAGCAACCTTTGACAAAGAAGAGCAAAAGAAGGATACAACTAACATCCAATGTGGCATTATGAATTAGTGTCTCCTTTTGGATACCCAAATTCTCATCTACCACCACACTTTCAATACTTGCATTGAAAACGTCGCTAACCTGCTCTGCTAATACTTCCCCAGAACACCGACCACCCAAAGTTGTCAAATTCTCTTCCGTTAGTTCCAAACCTTTCTCCATATCTAAATTTCTTGACATATTCTCCTCATTACTAACTAAAGGATTAGCCTCAGGTGACCCATTCCCAGATTCAAGACCATTTTTCTGTATTACCAAACCAGAATTGCTTGAAGCTGGTAGGTCAAGCACATCCTCAGCTTCCATTCTTTAAACCAAAATTGTGAACTTATCTATATATATATATCCTTAAGCAATTCCCCTAAACACCCATAAAAAATACCCTGTTATAAGAAACGACACAATCAGAGAGCGAAATACACTATTTCAAGACCATTAAAATCATTCCCAAAAGAAGGCACACAAGATTCAGATCCTTAAACAAAAAAAAACCAACACTTGACTAATTTAATTGCTAAGAATGAACAGGAAAGCAATTCTTAATCTAACAAAATTTGAGCTCCTAATTCAATCCCAGCTCGTTTTGCTTACCTCTAACCAATACAAAATCCATACAAAAAAAATTGGGGGTAAAATAAAACTAGGGTTTAATAATTTACAAGAAAACAGTAACCAGCAGCTTAATCTACTCAATTTGAAAGGTAGAAGATAGAGAGCAAAACCAAGAAAACATTTGAGGAGGGAGATGAAACGACACGAAGGATTCGGAAACAAGAAATCTAAAATCTCCTCCAAGTTTTCTAATAAGTTGCGAAGAAAGGAGAAAAAGGAAACAAGAAATTTTGAAGCTGGAAGATTGAATAGAGGAGTTTACCTTACTCAATGGGGGTTGCAGCAGCAAAGGACTGACGAAGAAGAAGAAGATAGATAGATCTGTGAGATTCAAAAGGAGGAAGGTTATGGGTATTTTATTCATCCGCCTAATTAAGAGAGATAATCCAATGCTACCCAGTCAAGTCAACCTACCGAAACGGTGCGTGTTTAACCTGTCGAACTTTTGCGCATACTTAAAAAAGAGAACCGGGTAGATTTGGGTTTATGATTTAGTCCGACCGGGTATAACGGGTTTAATGACTTTCTTAAAATCCGGTTCAAGACGGTCTAACTAAGTCGTCGATTTCCAGGTTTTTGACAGTTTAATCCGGTTTTACAACTTGTTTAACTATGTTTGAGTTTTAGTGTTGACCCACATCGACCATGTTTTCGGTTCACGGTTGAACCTGGTTCGACTTCGGTCCGGTTTTAAAACATTGTCTGAAAAGATATAAATTCTCTCTTCTTTCACTTGTTTTTGAGTTATTTTTCTGCATTTTCACTCTAAATATCCACATTACTTGCTGCATATCTTCGTTAATATGCTGAAAATCATGTCTTTAACTCGTGGTTCCACTCTGTCTTTAAGCAGCGAGAAATCTCTGATTCAAATCGATGAGGTTAGGCATTCTTCCAGTTCTTATGTTACTCCCTCTCCGATTTTTCATTTGTCGTCGGACACCTGCGCAACTTCTTCTCGGTTCACAACGACCGAAATCAACGCTCCTAGCCTGGTGGACGAAAATCTTGACGCTCTATTCTCTTTACGGGAAATGGGAGGTGTTA